TATCAAATGAACCAATGTCCCCTCACTAGCAGAGAACAGTGTTCCAGTCAAGTGTCGAGTGGCTCACTCGGTCTGTAGCCGGGCCATAAATCATAATTTTTAATATTTGTTGTCAACTTGGGCGTAGCTCGTGTATGTAAACACGATGCTTCTAAAACCCACCATAAGCCTGTAAGCAGGCCGTGGCCGGGGACGGGCCGGGCCGGGCGCACGAGGTCTCATACAATTCTAAAAGGTATTTGCGCACGCGCAGTCACATTCATTGGCACGTCTCACTCTTCCCCTCTACCTCTCCCACTCCTTTTGCGTCTGTCCCTGTCGCACTTCTGCCCACTGCAGGTTCCATAGGGCGTGCGACAGAGAGGAACAACGCATAACGACAAACGCACAAGAATGCGAGCATAGACCCATTAAAAAGTCATAAAAATTTGTAAGCACCTCATAAAAATAGTCATAAATATTATTTTTTCTCTGTTTTGTTTTCACAGCGTCTTGTTGCTCTTGTTATTGCCATTGTTGTTATTGCTGTTGTTGTTGTTGCTTTTCCCTTATCTTACCCCTCGATGATGTTTGTGTTGTGGCTTGCGGTGGTTGGCTCTCATAATTTTTATGAGTTTTTGAATGGCTTTTCGATTTGGTGCCATTGTTTACACTGATCTCATCCGCACCGCAAGAGGCCATTGTTGGCATTATCACACATCCTCGATAATTGAGGTTTGTAAGCCTGTTTGTTGTACTCTTCCGAGCTCTATATTTCATATTTGCATGCACAATTGTTCATATTTGTAAGCACAAAGATTATTTCAACAAGAACAACTCAATTAAGGTTGGTCATATGTATTTTTATAAAATGTCTAACAGCTATGGAATCGAGGGCTCACGCCTTCACAAGAGGGGGTAATGCACGGTAGGATCGATTATATACATATGTATACATTCATAAATACATTTATATGTATGTACATAACTCCCGCAGTAGTGTTTGAGTATTAATTGTAGGTTATGTAGATTTTAAATAAGTTTAAAAAACAAAAAATAACATAAATAATATTGAGGCAAATCAAATAGCAAAAGTCTTTTCGAGAAATATTAAATCCATATTGTAAAGAATGTTCCAAAAATATTATACACTTTATAAAGTTTCTGTAGTTTGCATGAAATACAATTTTACCTTACAGTATATTTTTCCTGATATAAGGAAATACTTTTCTAGTTCACCTAAGCAACACTTGTACTCAGAAAGAACTTTGTTAAAAGTAGGCCTATTTGCCTGTAATTGCATTTTAAACTTGGAGGCGACTTTTGGCTTTTATATTCTGAGTTATATAAAAAGGTAAGGTGCGAAATTAGAGATAAAGCATTGACATTAACTTAGGTGAGCACTGCATAATAATACAATAATACATTTTTCTGAGCATGCCTTATAAAACTTATAAAGTTTTAGAAATGTTATAGTACATATATAGAAATATATAGAAATTAAGAGATAAGAGATATAAACTTCTGGTGGTAAGTCGAAGGCGGAGTGTATGTCTATAGAAGCTAGCTTTTTATCAAGGAGCGGAATTTCGGAGCTTATAAATTCGTAAGCTGAAATGCAGGAGGCAACAAGTCCTGGCAGAACTACGTCTAGAGTCAATAAATTTAAACGATGACAAGGATCGGCCCAATAGATCAATGTGAACAAAACGTCTCCGGCACAACGAGAAAGACAGTGCCTCTGTGTGCCCTGTTCTTGAACTATTTGTTTTTGCTGTATTTATCATGAAACATGACACAGTTGCGTGCTCCATACCTTACGTTTTGGTCATGATTTGTAAACTAAAGTTTTATTATTATTAGGGGTTTTTTTTACTGTAGACTGACTCTGCGATGATGGATATTTCTTTCAGTCGCAGCCCGAATTTACGAAGGAATAAATTTAAAAGCCGACCGTTGTTGGAGGCACGAGAAGCGTCTGCAGTTAGTCGCTGTCAAAAGGAAGGAAATGAAATCTAACATGCTGTGCCCGCTGGCTGCACATGTGTTTGCCTCTCGAACCTGGCTGCGCAATTCGGTCCAATTAACCCGACGGGTTGCTGAGCTGCATTTGCACTCTGGCACTTTGGTATCACTCTGGCAACTGCGCCCCCGACGTTGCAGTATCTGTTGCGTCCCTATTATGCAATAGCAGAAAGGCGCCTTTGATCTGGTTGCCGCCGACTGCGAGGGCGCTCTCAAATGCCCACCCTTAGCGCATGCAAACGAGCCAAGTTCTTCCCATTTTTGTATAATTACGCAAACGCATTCCTCCGATATCGGACTATATAACTTTCTTTCCTATGTACGAGTATTATTACATAGGACACGTTTTTGGTTGCGAACTATCCCTATGTAGAAGTAGTTGTTGGTTCATTCGTAGATATGGCGCGTCGCTGTCGGGGCTGCTTTTGTTGTGGCGTTTGGTTGCCTTGTTAGGCATTTTTCATTCGCTGTGACATTTTGCTTTGGCTTTCTGGTTCTTAATTACTTCAAAGACGACGGCACTCGTTTTAATGAAGTGAAAATTCATGGCGCTGATATTAGGCACGCAAGCCGAGAAATTTGAATTAAACTATACAAAGCAAGGAATAAAGACTCAAACATCGTATGATTATTTTATATTTTGTTATTATACGTGTATACAAATCATTGATCCAGATATTGGTATACTCGTTTATAATATCCAACATGCGAAGGTTCTCCAATAAACATCTTAATGTTTACTAAGAATGTTTACCATATTTTTAAAAATCACAATATGCTGTGCTTTATAACATTATGGCACAAGGCATAGTAATGAAAACAGTATATCCTGTAACTAAATCATTTATGGTGATCAAAATAGATTCCTATGTAGATATGTACGTTTTCGAGTTAGGTAATGTTTTTGTAAGAAAATTATTTTCATTTAGATTTTGTTTACTTCTAAACAAAAGGATAAACATAGGTCCGATATATAATATTAATAAGATCCAAAGAATGGGAGACTTCATTACCACTGGATCAACTTTTGGTTTGTAAAAATTTAAGTTCATACCCGTAAAATTTAATTTTTGAAGACTGAACAAGAATTTGTTATTCTTTTTTCTTTCTCGATTGCAATTCATATTTTATTTTATATACTTAGTAAGTATACTTCTATTATAGCCAGTTGAGGCAAAAATGAGAGACTTTTACTATGAACATTCATAAACACATTTAAAATTTAAAAAAAAAATGGAATATTGAAAAGTATGTTATAAAAGAGCGTAAAAATAAGAAGCTTACTTTTAATTTTGTTAATTTATTTGCGGGGCGTGAGTTCACTTATAATTTTTGTGCCGACGGTCTTTTTAACAACGCTTTATATTTTTTTGCACTTTTATTGGATGTTTACAAGCTTTTTGTTGCTAAATATTGTTATGTGAACTTTAGCTCAGAAAGAGATAGCACTTGGTTTGAAATGGGCCTTTTATTTGTTTTGGCAACGTATAGTATGTACGAGTAGTGCACTGGTCAATTACCGAACGGTAACTAGTAGGCTGCCTTCAAAATGTTGCACGTTTGGAAAACATTACAAGTGAAACGTGGTTAATTTGGTGCATCACTTTTCTTTCGCGAATTCTTAATCCGTTTGCATCCTGCTGGCAATTGGTTTACCTGCAGTAATCAGTTCGTGTTTGTTTGGCATTAACAGCGCACTTGATTTTCGGGATCCCGGCATCAGCGGCGGGTTGGTCCGGTTTTATTGCACTGGATTTGTCACAGTTCTAGTTGGGCGATGCCCATAAATTACATCGATGATGCTCATTAAAATCTCAACGCGAGTCAGCCAAAAATTTCACGCCACATTTATGAGTAACCATCAGCGGAAATCTTTTTCAAACGTCTTTCATGAAAGCTCTGACACTGAAGCCACAGCGTTATTTCGGACAGACAGAGTGGGACAAATCCAACTGATGCTGTTTATTTTTTAAAGTTTTTTGTTGTCCGTAGCACGAATAGCCGACCGACCGGCAGCAATTCCGAATTGTTTAACAGCTGTCCGCGAATACGTGTGCAAAGCGCCAATGTCTCACTTTGACTGCTTGGGCATAATTCAAATATCAGAGCATCAATAAAAAACTCACGCTTCGCGCACACACGCGCAGTCTCGTCTCACATACACACATGCGCGTCCAATTGTAGCTGCGAGTACGAGCAAGTAGGGCTGTGGCAAAAACAAACAAACAAACACCCAAGTGCATTCATTGAATGCGAATGCGGCACAGAAGCCACGAAAAGAGGAAATTTCGAATAGCTGCATAAGGAGTGTGTGTGTAAGCAGGCCAGCCTATTGTGTGTCTTTCTGCCCTGCTCATACACACAGTGGTTTTCGTTTGCTACCTTTGCGGCTGTTGTATCTCTTGGATGAGTTTTTTGCGTTGCCATGGGTAGCCACAATATGTGTGAGTTCGAAAGCGTCGCGGCAATTCCGAGAGAGCACCCGGGCGCAGAGTATGTTCGAATATTTTTAAATGCTCAGAAAATAGATTCTTATTGCTCTCACGTACACTGTCCCGTGTACGTGTGTCACACGCACACGTGTCCGTGTGTGATCATATGTAAGTTTCGACAGCTGTTCGAATATGTTGATGTTCGAAAGTGCTTTTAAAGATATTTTTATTATGTGCTACAAAACGTAGTGGAATGTTTACCTGTTATATTAATTGCTTTAAATGGGAGATACATTACTCTGCTAAGGTTTTATTTGAAAACTGATATTTCTATAGGAAATATTTTATTTAGCAAACTCTGGCGATGACTGCATTCCTGAAAGTAGCACAGAATCCCCAAATTGGTGATTCAGTTACTTTATCAGTGATTGAAAGGAGTGTAGGGTAATATATAAAATAAATTATTTTCAAGATTTCCATATGAATACATGCGGAGGCGTGTTCTATCTATATCTACACGTAAAAAGTATGCATTTTCAGTCGCCTTCAATTACCACTGCTTACCTATGTATTTTCTAATACAACGAAAATAAAATTTGTTAACAAATCCACTCTATGTATGTATGTATGTATATATGCATAAATTTTTACATGTATATCTAAGTATGTGTGTAAGTAATCCACATTTGAGTTGTTGATTGGGGTTTTCATTAGAAGTCACGTTTATTCACAGTGGAAGCCTAATCACAGCTTCACTGCTGATAAATCCAAAAGTTCTAAAAATATTGCAATCGCTCGCCAAGTTGTTGATTAATTTTAAATTATACATAACAGCTTAAAATACAAACACTTCAGTTTGGATTTCAGCCTCTGAATTTTAACCGAAGACTTAAGCTCACAATCAATTAAAGTTCACGGCCGAAAGAGAACTTGAAATTGGAAAAACTTTCGCGGCTTTACTAACGATACCGACCGCGTTGCTGGCGGATTGTTGTGCGCCACGTTCGAGTTATGTTTGAGCGAAGTCGGAGCTTGTGCGTTGCTTGCTGTCAGCCCACCCTGCCTTACTCTACGCCGACAACTGGTGCACGAGAGTGTTGCGCTCCTTGCTCGCCTGTGGAGGCCTGCTTTTCCTATATGTGTGAGTTTCGAAAACTGTAAATCATTTCGCCGGCCGGCTACCACAACTGGTATGAGCGGGATAGAATATCAAATGCTCTCTCTGGTTGCAGCTAGCCCCGCCCCGTTATTTGATTTATGCACTGAGGGTGTCGGACGGCAGCGGCCTATGGCGCGGTGGCTGCCGCTGCTCCTCGAATGCTGCGTTAAGTCAACAGGGAAACAGGTAGTTGAGCATTGGCAGGCTTCGGCTCCGTTTGGACTTGGGGCTCAGATGATTGCTTTTGTTTACGAGTCTGCGTGTCACTTTGAAATGTAAGCGCCAACGCCAGCGTCGCTGCTGTCGATGTTAGATTTTTTCGTTCTAGATTAGGCTAAAATATCCTAGATTAGTAAGCTTGGATGTCCCAGTAGCGGCTCTTTATTTATATTCAATCGAGGTTTCCCGTTAAATCACCATCGCATTATTATTTCACATTATTATTTTATAAACGTTTCCCTTGCCTTCGGCATCAAGAACACAATCAACACTTCCACTTACAGTTTTTTTTAAAGCTGTACAATTGTCTAAGCAAATAAAAAATGATTTTCATTTAAATTATGTTCCTTTCAGTTAATTTGTTGTAGCTTAAAATCAATTCATGATCTGCTTCAAAAATCAAATGTCTTTTAAATATGAATTTCGTATTAATTGTTGTGCTGGTACACTATGTGCTAGTAGCAATAAATTTTTTTCATGATATTTGCACAAGAAATTACAATACTTGAAAGCTCGAATCACGGTTTTATTTTACAATCCTTTTTGAAATATAAACAACCAACTGGTTACCATTATCTTCCTAGATACTTCATAAGTATTTTAGGATCCAGTTCCACAGTTTTAAATCACAGTTATAAAAGGTCTTATAGAGATATAATTAGCTCTTTACAATCATTCCTGGGATATATTAATTATTTAACTTAAACTGTTTCTCAAATATATTTTGATAGTAAAGTAACATAATCAAATAAAAGTGGTGTTTAAATATGTCACAATAATAAATACACTCCCCTTAATAGTCTTTATGGTTGCATATTTGGTGTTTAGCTGGAAATATATATTCCAATCGTTTAATTATAAATAATTATACATTACCCGATGCTCTCTTCAACCTTAGGACGTTTATGTGGTTTGTTTTTCTAAGTGACAGACGGATGTGTCTTTTTTATCTGGTCTCATCATGCTGATCACATGTCTACTTATAACTTTGGTTCTTCGTCTACGAATTACATACATTTTACACTAAGATTTGACCCTTGTACTCTTGGGGCTCGTCTCCCAGCTCGAAAATTTGTTCAATTAATACATTTGGCATCTGTCTGTTTCCGAAATCGGGGGGTTCATCCAGACGGATTCGTCTCGTCATGCTGATTAAGAATATATATACTTTGTGGGATCGGAGATGGCTCCTTCCGCCTGTTACATACTTTGCACAAATCTAATATACCTTTTTCACCCTATAGGTACAGGGTATAAATAGATGAAGAGAGCTTCGCTAATAACTCTTCTTAGAATCAACCGATTTGGATGCAGCAAATTTAGAGAATACTATACATATATTATAAATTACATATATGTAACGTGGGAAACGTTTTATTTATATAGCTATTATATAGTATTGACAAAAGTCTGTAGCGGAAGGAGGCTTAAAAACAAATGAATAAAACAAACTCGTGTTACCTGGGCATAAGGAAGTCTACATACATATGTATGTATCAAGTTTGGTAAATGTGGACCCAACCATCTCCGAAATCCAAGCGTTCATCCAGACAGACATAGATGTATCGAATGATCAGTCATCTTGTCACGTTGATTAAGAAAATCTATACTTCTATGCTTTAAAATCTGAACAAGAAAGGAATGCTAGGGTCGAGCGGACTGAGGACGGAGGGGTGCATCAGAAAAGGAAGAAACTTAATCTGCCTAGGGCTTAGCGGAACCTGAATACCAAGTTTGGTTATTCTAGGCCTTATACTTTCTGAAATTCTTGCGTTCATACAGACAGACGGAAAGACGAACATGGCTATATCGACTTGTCTTTTCATCCTGATCAAGAATATATACACTTTGTGGGGTCTGGGGTTACATACAATCGCAAAAAACTAATATAGCCTTTTACCTTTTGAGTACAGGATATACAAATAATTGGTAAACTATAAATAAAGTACATTTTAGTACATTCTTTAGGAATTTGTGCTTATCTAAAAGATACAACACGTTACATGGAAAATAACGTGACCAGCAGGGAAATTCAGAGCTTTATTAAAAAATACTAGCATACGTTTCATGTACAGGGTTTGGTATGGTTTTCTTTCCCGGTTTTGGGAGTATCAGCATAGGAAATTTTGAGGCTTTTCCTTTCATAAAAATTCAGAGACAGACAGACGTACTTATCCAGCATGTGTGTATACACTGAGTGGGACTGTTCGACTCTTAAATATAATGGCTACAGTGAATGCGAAACTCGAAAAAGCCAAACGTTAATTGATTTTAAATAAAAAGACCTGCCCATGTGCTTCTTTGGTATTAAAGCTGGAAATGCCGGTGGGCAGTTAAAAGTTCGTTAGTCGGCCCAGCGTCTACATGTGGTTGGCCAATTCTTCAGAATGTTGTTCATATTTTTCTTCTCCTGAATAACAAACAATTATCAGTTTTTCTTTCAGCATGTTTTTGTGTTATGGAGCGCATAAAAAGTAGAGGAACAGTGAAAAATGGTCCAGAAGAAAATGGGTTGACTCCCTAATCATGCCATTTTCGTTTCCAATTAGGCTCAGTGGGCAAGCAAACCTCCACGACTACTATTTGAGTTGTTCTCCCATTCTTTCTTAGCGGATGGAAGAGATAGGCGGTGGTGCCAGGTGACGAAGGATATTTAGATGTGGGAGTGGGTTTGTGTCTACCTGAGCACTTGATAAATGGTAGTCATTTGGGACAGACACAACGCCCGCAACTAGAAGCTGGTATTTGAAAATATGGAGCAGTGCAAATAGTTCAGATCAAAGAACGATGGGAGGAATCAGTAGTGTCTATTCTTTGAAAAATCAATTCAGACTCTGATTTAAATGAATTTGTAGCTGTCCTCTCGTTTTCTCCAATACTTATATACATACTGGAAAGATCTGGGAAATATATGTAATATGCAGTGGAAAAAGTTTGGAGCGACTAACAATGGGAGCTTTAGATTTGTCAATTGATTGTAAAATCATAAAAATTGTGGGTCAATTTAAATGAATATCCACCTCTGTGGTTGCCCTTTCGTTTTCTGAAATACAGATCACGGCTGTAAAAACTCCAAATGGCATGGGAAATGCCATCGAAGATATTTAATACTCGCATCAGCACGGGCCGCACCTCTTATTATGACGAACGGGACTCAGCTGTCATGCAATGAGGTACTTAGACATCGAATAGCGCGGATACGAGATGGTGGCCCAACGAAAGACCATTAGACGCATTTGTGGTTGATATTGCTGCCCAGACCGACCCGGCCCAGAGCAGCGCGGCCTGACGACAACAGCTGAGCTTAACTGAAGCGCCACTCAAGCTGCGCGCTGATGCATAAATCGATCATTAGTCGGGGCAGTGAGGCAGCAAAAGAGCGTACACATGTGCCAGGGGAGTGGAAATGAAAACGACTGCATGAAAATTGTAAACTTTAAAATCGGCCAGAACGCCATTTTGATTTTATCCTGCATTCGAATCGCACACGAGGACACACCCGAGTACACACTATAGTGAGTACTGTACATACTTGGGTATGTTTAAATGCATATCCTTGCATGTTTAGTATGCAGCACTACATGTGTGCATGGAGCTGAATATGTGATTATGTATGTGCTTATTGAAGAGATAACGAAGCTTTTCAAAGCTTTTGCGTACACTCCACAGTATAGCCCTCTCGCTTTGGCCGCAACTGTGCGTGAAAAATACTGCTGTTGCTCATAAGGAGGATAAGGAGGTGAGGCCTAACAACGGCTGCTGTTGCGCATGTCCCACACACTGCGCACTTATTCGATGATTAATTTGCGTGGGTGGGAGCTGGGTCTGGGGCTGGGTCTGGGTCTGGCGCTGGAGTTGTCGTTAGAATTGAAGCCACCGTGAACTCCACCCATTTATTCACAAGATACAAGATACATGTACATGCGATTTTGCTCATCAAGGAGAGTAGCCTTCAATACTACCGCCCAACAATGAGCGGTCGAGTTTAAAATGGCGGAGTTTGTGTTTAGTTGCAATTCCATAGCATCCACTTAGCAGCTGCTCTACCCTACCCGGTCCAGCAAATAGCGCACAACTGTTAAAGCAGCAAACAGGCAGGCAGCCTGCCTGCTGTCCTGACAGCAATCAATCAGATTCATATCGTAACAAAAGATGTGCAGCCTAATTCTATAAATGCAGCATGGCGGGCTCACTGGAGGCTGGTTACAGACTACTTTGTTTTCCGCTTGA